AGCACCGATCGATCGGTAGAGAGTGAGTATCGGCCGATCGATCGGAGCATCCCTAGTCGGTACATACTGCAGCTACTTTAGGTGTATTAGTCGTGGACGTCTAGATAAACCAGGGGGAAGCACAGATTCTTTATGTGAAACTGATTTATGTACTACCAGTTTGAATCACTGGGTCCTTTTAAGTTATCAAGAAAGTTATCAGAGGAATAAGTTGGGTTATTTTAGCCGTTAGCTGGCACCCCCCGCCGAACTGCTTTATTCAGGGTTTTAAATTGGTTTTAATCAAATTAATTTATTTTGAAAAGGAGGAAAACCTTTGTGGACAATTTGGCTGCCGTGAAAACCTCCTCAATGTCTAGAGAAGCTGAGCAGCTGAATGAATGTTAGCCGTTAGCTCGTAGCCATTTTAGAGATTTTGATCTCAATGAGCCTTTTACCTGGTTAAATAAAGGATATATATATAAGATGTAGGTTTTGTGTTGAGACGTGTTTTTCTCGGTGTCCCCTCAGAGTCTCCAGAACCAGTCCAGTGACATCCGGCTGGTGTCAGAGAGGGTTCTGTGGTGGGTGTTTAGAGAGGAGGAGACCCCCTCCATGGAGGCCAGCCTCATCAAGCCGCTGCTGAAGAGCCTGCTGGACAACACCAAGGACAAGAACACCAGCGTGAGAGCGCAGAGCGAGTACACCATCGTGAACCTGCTGAGGCTCAGGCAGGGGGACACCACCATGCAGGTCAGGATGCTCACTGCTACAGAACATTGACTGTTACAGAACATTACAGAAGAACCCAGGCTTCCAGCTGCGTTTCTGCCTCTCCCTGTGAAAAAAACAATAACAGCTGTCCTCATGTCTCCTGTTCCTCTTCCTGTGTTCCAGAGTGTGACGGCCATCTTGGACTCAGCCAGTAACGACCTGCTGTCAGACTGCCACCGCCGCTCTCTGAAGAAGATCTGCAGCCTGCCAGACTCCAACGAGGAGATCGACGACACCATCCTGACGTGATGCAGCACGACTGGGCTATGAAATGATCTACAGTGCAACCACACACACACATGTACACACACACACACACACACACGCACACGCACACACCAAACATGCCCAGGTTGCCTTTCATGGACCAAGGCTGAGATGTGTTTTCCCACTATATCCCCAAAAACTAATTTTCTGTTTGAGTCATTGTTTTAGCGGCCTTTTAAAACCCAATTTATACCTTTTTATTTTATTTTATCTCATAATGTGATCCTGCATTATAAAAGACACAATGCCAACTTTGTTTGATGTTAGTGATTCGCTACTTCATTTTACCCAAAGGTTTTCAGTGATTGAAGACGCCGCTGTGAGGAAACCCCTGTCTTTAACTTTTATTTGGACTTTGTGTGTGAGAGTGGTTTGGGGGAGAATGCAACCTCTTATGAGAATAAAACTATTCTTATGTCAGTGAAATGGTTGTAAAGAAAAAAGGTTAAACTAAATAAAAGGATCTCGATTTCATAATGTTGTGTGTGAGAAATATTGGAGTTTGTTTTCTTCCGGACTTTAAGTTCTCTGTGCGCAACCTGCGGAGTGTGTGAGGTTATTCACATTATCAGTATGTGGGATTATATTCAGACGCGATACATATATGCAGGAGGATTTGCAGATATCATAAACCTCCTGAAGGGTCTGGCGTCTCCAGTAGTGTTACACAGGTTTTAGTGCATGTAAATGGTCTAAAAAGGTTCAAACCCCTTTGTTCCTCCAGAAGGAGTTTCTCTCCCACACACTCCTGAACACAGTGACATCACTACGGAACACTTGTGCTTCTATTGGCTAGCACTCCAACGCACTGGGGGTGTTTCTCAATGTCGAGGACGCTTCCTTGGTAGGACATGTCCCTCCGAGTCAGGTCCATCAGAGGCTAGGCAAGAATCCTTCCTGGCATTCGGAGAACGAAGAATGGATAGCAAGTGTGCCGGTGTGCGTCATATGAGAGGCCCCGCCTTAAATTCTCCGCCGTAGATTTGGGGAAATGGGTCCGTGCGCAAAGCATTGTGGGGATTTTAAGACCGCGGAGGATACACATGTGCAGCCTCGAAATTTCCCGCAACGAAGGACGCCGGCCTCGGTAGAATTCCAAGGATCCTGGACATTGGAACAGTCCTTCGGCGGGACTCGATGACGTAGCATCCTTGAAATAGTGGCTCTGGAGGATCCTTCCTCGACATAGAGAAACAGTGGGTGTTTCTCAAAGCGGTTGACCAATCACAACAGAGCCGACCAGCTAACCAATCAAAATGCAGTAAAAAAAATATATCTTCCTCTAATGTTCCTTTAAATTGTACACTAAAACTGGTAATCCTTAAAAAAAATGTACAAGTTGTTTTTATTATTATATTATTATTGTGAATTAATTCTCAAAATATAAAAAAATAAAGAAATCTTCCTCATAACTTTTCTAAAAACGTGTTTGTTCTCGACCTTACTTCCCTTTCTCCATACAGAATCAGAATACCTTTAACACCTGTAACCCGTCCCACAGAGGGGAAACATCAAATATAAATTCTCAACATCTCGACTTTATCTCAGCATTAAAACTGTTTTCTTGACATTTTAACTGTATCCTCAAAATAAAGAAAGTACATGTTTTTTCTCCGTGTGGCCTCTTCAGTAGAAGTCCTCTCCATTCCTATATTACCACTGAATTAAATCAATATAAAGCGACATCGACCCTGTTTGCAGATGTTTTCAATCACAGGATCAACATTTAGACTTTATTTTAAAAATGCAACAAATAAAACCTTACACTTTTACTTTTTGCTCGACTTCAACACTTGACTTAAATAAATAGAAAAATATAGTCCTCCTTTCATTCATTTCTATCTGAAAGCGTGGTTATTCTCGACCCTCTGACTTCATAGTGAATATTTTTCTTAACATTTCGACTTGATTCTCTACATTTTGACTTTGTTATTTACATTTAGGCTTTTGAAAAGCTTGACTTTATTCTAAAAAAAAATTAAATAATAATCTTCTTATTAATATTTTCAAAAAGCTTGTTTAATCTCCACCCTCTGACTTTACTCCCAGCATCTTTTCTTTGCTTTTCGACTTCGTTTTCGACAATATTCTTAACATTTTGAATTTATTTTCCTTGCTTTCACTTGTTCACTTTTAAATATCCAAAAAATAAAAAATAAATCTCAACCTGGCCATAAATACTACAAGTCCTCTCCATTCCTGTATTACCTCTAAATTACAGAATTATAAATGGACATACATTGGCCCCTGTTTGCAGATGGAAATGAGCTATTAGCTAAAAATCTGGCATAACTAATCTCTTCTCTTTTCTGAGATGAATGTATTTGTATGCATGGTCCTCGTTGAAATAAATACATAATAACCGCTACAGCAGAGTTCTTCAGAGGCATGATGGGGTGGTGCAGCTGTGTCCGGGCGCATGCGCAGTGTCTCCGGCTCTCAGAGGGTGCAGCAGAAGCAGAAGGAAGCGGAGTTTCCGGCTGTTCGCAGCGGAGGGAGAGCACTGCTGACGCCGCGAAACCCCGAGAGAAACACCGGCGGCTCGGGGGGTTGGATGCTAACCATCTATAGTATCGGTACTGCTGTTTTGGTTTCTTTCATATCGTGTGGATCTGGGGTGATTTCGGACAGAAAACCGAGTACACAAGGCGGGGGTTGAGGAGCTACCGGCATGGCCAGGGACTACGATTACCTCTTCAAGCTGCTCATCATCGGGGACAGCGGTAAGGAAACACCGGGGATGAGGGACGGGAAGTAGGCCTTGACTTGTTTTTTTTCCCCAAGGGGAGAGGCAGAAACGCAGCTGGAGGCTCGGGTTGTTCTGTTATGTTGTGTGTGTTGTTAAATGTGTGTTTATCTGCATTCAAATGATGGTGGATTTGTACACATTCGTCATGTTTCTGTGGTACAGGGCGGAGGTTGTGTCTCAGGCCGGATATAAAGACTTCTGATCTCGGAAGATATTTTGTGATCCTGTTTTTATATTGGCTAATGCTATTAATTTAGCTCAACAACACAACACACTCTAACCGGAATAACTGTACCGGGGCTCCTGTAATTTAACTGTATCCCCTGTTAGCTGTGTTGGCTAGTTACAGTGATGCTAACACTACACTTCCAGGATTGTGGCTAACTGTTAGCTTACGGTAGAAATGTTTGATATAGATATATAGCTACATAGATAGATAGACATATGGATATATGCAATCTAATATATCTGGTTTCAGTTTGTTAATTTATTAGAGTGGACGAGTTTTGCTTATGAGTTTGTATTGCTCCATAAATCAGAAAATACTCTCAAAAGCCAGAGGACAAAATCCTCTTTTCACCATAATTTGAGAAAAATAATGTTCTATAAATCAGGTTATTTATGATATATATGAACTAAACCCCTCGATTTAAATAAGAATTAAACTGGAGAGTTGAGTGCAATTGGAGATTTCTGGCTCAGAATATGAAAATGTGGTCAAATAACCATTAAAAGGTTTGTTCTGTAAAAATCTATTTATTTAAAAATAAAGACTAGAAGGGGAAAGGGGCAAACATCTTTAACAACATCTATCACCATCATGACACTTCCCCAGTTCAATAGATAGGTAGGTAGATAGATACTAGATAGATGGATAGGTAGATACTAGATAGATAGATAGATAGGTACTAGATAGATGGATAGATAGATACTAGATAGATAGATAGGTACTAGATATATATATATATATATATATATATATATACTAGATAGATAGATAGGTAGATACTAGATAGATGGATAGGTAGATACTAGATAGATGGATAGGTAGATACTAGATAGATAGATAGATAGGTACTAGATATATATATATATATATATAATAGATAGATAGATAGATAGGTAGATACTAGATAGATAGGTACTAGATATATATATATATATGATAGATAGATAGATAGATAGGTAGATACTAGATAGATAGGTACTAGATATATATATATATATATATATATAATAGATAGATAGATACTTTATTTATCCCAAATTAGGACATTATTTTGTCACAGCATCAGATTTGTTAAGCATTACACAAGTTATACATATTTAAAAGATGGGATACGATACAAATATAATACACATAAAAGACAACATTATCTGGAGGTATACACACATTCACAATAGAGAGGACATATCTCACTAGAGTATCTAAATAATACACAACATATTGAATGCAGAAATATACTACATTTGCCATATTGCCATTGGATTATATAGACATTACAATTTTACAAAATGTACGTGTTCAGATTGTCCTCGGTTCTAGAACATGAGAGACTTTGCTGTCCGAGCTGAGCTGGTTATTGGGACTTTGGATGGGTGGACTAAGTAGATACACCCGAGTACTGTACTTAAGTTCAATTTTAACGACCTCACTTCAATTCAAAGGTACATTGTACTCCACTACATGTATTTAATCCCTTTAGTTACTTTACAGATGTGGATGAATGATGTGAAATATAATCAAGTGTTGAATCAGACTTTAGTTCCACCTGGAGTAAATCCACCAGCTACCCTGCAGTATACAAAGTACTTCAAACTAGCTGCACCTTCACCAGCTTTGAGAACACTTTCATGATCAATCATTATAAAACATATCATATATATTATTCTGAAATGGACCAATCTGCACAACGACTACTTTTACTGTCTTTCACTATATTTTGATGAGAATACTTTTCTACTTTCACTTGAGGAACATTTTGAATGAAGGACTTTTACTGAAACAGAGTATTCCTACACTCTGGTACTTCTACTTTTACTCAAGTACAAGATCTGAGTACTTCTACTTTTATTCAAGTACAAGATCTGAGTACTTCTACTTTTACTCAAATACAAGACCTGAGTACTTCTACTTTTACTCAAGTACAAGACCTGAGTACTTCTACTTTTACTCAAGTACAAGATCTCAGTACTTCTACTTTTACTCAAGTACAAGATCTGAGTACTTCTACTTTTACTCAAGTACAAGATCTGAGTACTTCTACTTTTACTCAAGTACAAGATCTCAGTACTTCTACTTTTACTCAAGTACAAGACCTGAGTACTTCTACTTTTACTCAAGTACAAGATCTCAGTACTTCTACTTTTACTCAAGTACAAGATCTGAGTACTTCTACTTTTACTCAAGTACAAGACCTGAGTACTTCTACTTTTACTCAAGTACAAGATCTCAGTACTTCTACTTTTACTCAAGTACAAGATCTGAGTACTTCTACTTTTACTCAAGTACAAGACCTGAGTACTTCTACATTTACTCAAGTACAAGATCTGAGTACTTCTACTTTCACTCAAGTACAAGATCTGAGTACTTCTACTTTTACTCAAGTACAAGACCTGAGTACTTCTACTTTTACTCAAGTACAAGATCTGAGTACTTCCACTTTTACTCAAGTACAAGACCTGAGTACTTCTACTTTTACTCAAGTACAAGACCTGAGTACTTCTACTTTTACTCAAGTACAAGATCTCAGTACTTCTACTTTTACTCAAGTACAAGATCTGAGTACTTCTACTTTTACTCAAGTACAAGACCTGAGTACTTCTACTTTTACTCAAGTACAAGATCTGAGTACTTCTACTTTTACTCAAGTACAAGATCTGAGTACTTCTACTTTTACTCAAGTACAAGACCTGAGTACTTCTACTTTTACTCAAGTACAAGATCCCAGTACTTCTACTTTTACTCAAGTACAACATCCCAGTACTTCTACTTTTACTCAAGTACAACATCCCAGTACTTCTACTTTTACTCAAGTACAACATCCCAGTACTTCTACTTTTACTCAAGTACAAGACCTGAGTACTTCTACTTTTACTCAAGTACAAGATCTCAGTACTTCTACTTTTACTCAAGTACAAGATCTCAGTACTTCTACTTTTACTCAAGTACAAGATCTCAGTACTTCTACTTTTACTCAAGTACAAGATCTGAGTACTTCTACTTTTACTCAAGTACAAGACCTGAGTACTTCTACTTTTACTCAAGTACAAGATCTCAGTCAGTGTGCGAAAAAGTACACGTCCCACCGTCCGGGACGTGTTATTTACAATATCGGACAAGTAGATCTTTCAATTGACTTGTCCGGCGGACAAGTGACGTTTTTCGGCCTGATTTATTGACAAATTATTGATACATTCAGTTTACAAAAGGCAGAACTCAATCGCAAATTGTACGTGTCCGCCATTGTTCGTTTAGATTCTGCTTGTCGATTCCTAAGGAAATGCATCTCGCCGCTTTCTGTACAGTTAGACGGGGCGGGGCGGGTGGGAAGTGTAGCACAGTGGCAGGGTTGGGAAGCAAAACACGGTTCCGATTAGGAACAAATATCAATTGTCCGGTACCGGGATTAATAAGAGTTGTGAGGACAGGAGGCGAGGCCGAGCCCCGCGGACTGCAGCTCTATCTATGCTCCGTATCAGCTGATCGCTGCAGCTCAGCGTCTCTCTCTCTTTCTACACACAGCGGATCCGCTGCCCGATTAACAGCCTCATCTTTGTCAAACTTTCTTATGTTCTTTCTCTAACGCATAATGAAGGTTATTAAGCGTTTTAACTCCTATGTTGTTAATATTGACCACCATTTCCTTTTATGAAGTAAAGCAACCTCCCTGTCTGTGTCCTCGCGCTGTCCTCACATCCCCGGACCCCCAGACTCAGAGGAGCACAGGGATGTCAGCAGAGACGTGCACACATAGACTCTAGGTAGTGCTTGAGCACCTGCCCGTTTTGCCCTCTGGACAGCAATGTGCCCTTTTGAAAGTTCGTTTTTTACAGTTTAAAAAAAAAATTACAGTGTACTGTATGTGGCTCATGGTAACATCGATCAATTCTGGATTAAAAGCTTCTAATATATACAACAATGCCCCAAATGCGCGTTGTAATTTTGTCAGACATCCCCACGCGTGCCCCGCGGCACTCCCGTACTCCTGGCTGCAGCCCCTCCCTTCCCTGCTCTCAACGTGAGCGCGCAGCGCGCAGAGCTGACAGTCAGTCTAGTGATGGGAATTCCGGCTCTTCTTGGTGAGCCGGATCATTTGGCTCGGCTCACCAAGAAGAGCCGGCTCTTTCGGCTCCCAAAACGGCTCTTCAGTTTACCACTTATTATACCTTTTAATTAAATCAAATGTAGTAGCCCTGTTTTGACTAATGATTTATATTTGTACACATATATCACTTAAATTATTCAATACATCCTTTGTACTGAAGTATTCAAAAGTAAAAATTACATGTTTAATATAAATGATTTGCTGTGGCCAATTGTTTTCATTGCATTTACAGACCCGTGTAACTCTCTGATACCACCCAATTAATGCATTGACTTGCTTGTAGAACCACGCTACACAAAACAGATAGCAACACCTATAAAACTATTTTAACAAAGGGGCTACTGTATCGACCTATATAAAGTATATAAAGTATATAAATATAGGTTTTTTTTCAAAATACCAAAAAGATCCTGCATTTTAGCCATGCCTCATTTCGCTCTATTTGCTCCATCCAGCGCTGTTTTTGCAGGGGCTGATTCTGTGAGCTGCAGCTGACCACGCCCCCCTGCAGGAGAGGGGAGCGTGCTCTGAGATCAGCTGCTGGGCTGTCAGAAGAGGGGGAGAAAAAGAGATCTCCGTCCTCCGTGTTTTATTCTTATAGAAGTAAGAAGAGAAGTAATGGGGCAGAAACCCTCCTTTTTACGCA